GAAGTCTATGCTAAAATCCTGGAAGGAGAAAGTACTTCACTTGAGCTCTGTCTATGTCCATGCCTGTCCTCAGACCCAAAGCAAACTCCTCAAGAAAGCTCCATTGGAGAGAAGGCCCAGTTCATCTTTCAGACTTAGGAAGGCACAGCACCCTCAGGAGAGTTAGGGAGCCCCGGTCTGAAGGGGGAGACACAGTCCTGTCCCGGGATCCCAAGACAGAGCAGGGCCTGACCTGCCCTGGACATCACATATTGAGAGAGAAGACAAAGCCCTGCCTGAGGGCTGCAGTCTGAGGAGAAAATTCCCTGCTCTGAGAGTCGCATCTGAGGAGGGAGATGCGGCCCAGCCCTTAGAGTCTCAGCAGAACTCACCTGTTCTGAGATTCCTCGTCTGAGAGCAGAAACACAGCCTTGTTCTGGGAGGGACCACAGACATGGCCCTGCCCCGAGGGGCCATCTGAGCAGGGACGCAGAGTCCTTCTCTGAGATCCCTCAACTGAAAGGAACATGGCTCCATCATGCGCAGCCCAGCGCTGAGAATATCAGGAAAAGAAAAGTTGGCCCTGTATGAGAGAGAAACATGGCCAGCCCTGGGAGTTCCAGACTGAGGAGACACGGCTCTATCCTCCAGAGCCCCTAGACTGCCGGCAGGCTCGCTGATGCACCCTGGTGTCACCTACAAAGACTCCCAGCAGGCCAGGTTCGAAGGCTCACACCTGTAATCTCAGCACTTTGGGAGGCCAAGGCGGGCTGATCACCTGAGGTCAGGAGTTCAAGACCAGCTTGGCCAACATGGCAAAACCCTGTCTCTAGTAAAAACCAAAAATTAGCCAGGCATGGTGGTGGGTGCCTGTAATCCCAGCTATTCAGGAGGCTGAGGCAGGAGATTCGCTTGAAACTGGGAGGCAGAGTTTGCAGTGAGCCGAGATCACACCATTGCTCTCCAGCCTGGGTGACAAGAGTGAAACTTCGTCTCAAAAAAAAAGAAAAGAGACTCCCAGCAAGCCACAAGCAAGCATTGCTATACTTTGCCCATCTAAGCTGCAGCAGGGCCCAGTTCCCTGAGGAAATTTCAGGACAGATCTGAGGTGGCTCCATGGTCACCAGACGGTCACTGCCCCATCTGTCTCACTGTGGTCTGGAGATGGCCTGAGCTTCTCATGCACACCTGGCCAATCTTTAACTGGTTGGCCTAGAGCTCCCTCCTCGCCAGAGCCAAGGTAGAAGGAATTGAAGACTTTGCCCCACTGCTTGCCATTCCTGCTTCCTACAGCAGGCAGGAGGCACGTGGGGTCAGCCTGTTCTGTCCCTTCCCGGGAGGTCGTGGACACACATCATCTCAGGCTGCTCTCACAACAACCACAGGAGATGGGCACTGATATACGCACTTTAGAGATGAGAAGCCTGAAGCTCAGGAAGCACAAGGAGGGCCTGGGTGGTGGAGGGACTCAGCTCTGCGCCACTTGCCCTATACCACCTCCAGGGTCTCTTCCTTGCCTGTGTCTCTCCCTGAGTCAGGACTGTCGGGCTGGGACAAGGCAGCTTGGAAACACAACATGATCAAGGAACAGCATGGAGAGTTGGAAAGAGCTCTTGGCCAGAGGGCTAGAAGACCTGCACCCAGGTTCCAAGTGTGGGTGACCTTGGGCCAGCGCCAACCCATCTTCAGCATCCTCTGAGGTCTTCTCCAGCACCATTCACCTGAAGCTCGGGCCGCTGACAACGACCCCTGCTCTGCCAGCCTTGCTTAATAAGGCTGTGGGCAAATTCAGTGATGCTCTGGCAAACTGTGAAGTGCAGTGCACCTGGGGAGAGTGATTTTTGGCAAACATGATGTGCCACCAGGCATGTGCCACCAATGGAAGATGGTGGAATGGTGGGAAAAGCCTTGAGCTGGGAATCCCACCTCTGCCTCACAGGGAAAATCAAGAGACCTCTCTAGGCCTCCCCACCTGTCCAGTTCAGAGCCTCAGCTCCCTTGATCTCAAGCATCTGCCACCAACCAGATACCGGATCTTTCCTTTATACCTTAGCACAGATCTTTTTTTTTTTTTAAGAGATGGGGGTCTCCCTCTGTCACTCAGGCTGGAGTACAGTGGTGAATCATAGCTCACTGCAGCCTCGGACTCCTGGACTCAAGCAATATCCTCCTGCCACTGTGCTGAGCTAATTCAGCTCCTTGAGAGAGGAGTTTGATTGGCTCAGCTCATCCTCTTCAGCCAGTCCATACAGGTCAGAGGTCACAGTCAGTCAGGGTCCCCTTGGAGCAATGTTTACTGCCACAGCCAGTAGGGTCAGGGTCACAGCGTCCTGGCTACTGTGGCTCAGGGCCCCTGCACAGCCCTCCTTACACCCCCACTGCAAAGAAAATCACCCTTGGGCTGGGCGCGCCTCTAATCTCAGCACTTTGGGAGGCTGAGGCGGGCAGATCACCTGAGGTTGGGAGTTCATGACCAGCGTGACCAACATGGAGAAACCTCTTCTCTATTAAAAACACAAAATTAGCCGGGCATGGTGGTACATGCCTGTAATCCCAGCTACCGGGGAGGCTGAAGCAGGAGAATTGCTTGAACCCGTGAGGCAGAGGTTGCAGTGAGCCGAGATCGCACCATTGCACTCCAGCCTGGGCAACAAGAGTGAAACTCCAACTCAAAAAAAAAAAAAGAGAGAAAGGAAATCACCCTTCCTCTCAGCCTTCTCTGGGACTCCAAGGCTGGGCCTCCTAACGACAAACTAGAGAAAGATCTATCACTACTCCTATTGCCAACCAGCTCACCCCTGCTCTGGAGTCTGGAACACTGGGTCAGGTGGTCCTAGCTGGCTCTTTTTTCCCTCAGGGTGACCTCCCTCCTAGGATTCCCTCAGTCCCTATGCAAATGAACTCAGTCACTGGGGTCCCCCTCACACAGTCTGCCTAGATATATCTCAGTCTTTTTTTTTGAGATGGAGTTTCACTCTTGTTGCCCAGGCTGGAGAGCAATGGTGCCATCTCAGCTCACTGTAGTCTCTCTGCCTCCTGGGTTCAAGCGATTCTCCTCCTCAGTAGCTGGGATTACAGGCATGTCCCAGTACTCCCAGCTATTTTTTTTTAAGTAGTCTCACTCTGTCACCCAGATTGGAGTGCAGTGGTGCGATCTCAGCTCACTACAACCTCCGCCTCCCGGGTTCAAGCAATTCTCCTGCCTCAGCCTCCCGAGTAGCTGGGACTACAGGCATGTGCCACCACACCCAGCTAATTTTTGTATTTTCAGTACAGATGGGGTTTCTCCATATTGGTCAGGCTGGTCTTGAACTCCTGACCTCAAGTGTTCCGCCCACCTCAGCCTCCCAAAGTGCTAGAATTACAGGCATGAGCCACTGCGCCCGGAGCAAAACTCCTATTGAGGGAAATCCAGTTATATCCAGTAAAGTTATATATGCATTTATCCTCTGACCCAGCAATTACACATCTAGAACTTTATCCCAAAGACAGACTTGTAAAAATACAAAATAACATGCACAACGTTATTCATCACAGCATTATTTATGACGGCCAGAAAAACTGGAAATAACCAATATGTCCATCAATAAGAACCTGTTTTAATAAGCTATGACATATCCAATCAGTGGAGTGCTATGAAGCTATATAAAGGACACAGGAGATTTTTGTACCCTGATATGGATCGTCAAGTGAAAAAAGTAAGTTAAGGAACACTATATATACTTCCTTTTGTGTAAGAAAAGGAGGAGTATACTCTGTTTACTTGTATCGTTAAAAAGAAACAATAGAAAGTATCATTAAAGTGCCTTCTAATGTGATGCAATATGACTGTATTCTTGGGAAAAAATTGAACTAGAATCTAAGAAAGCTTGTAGATACAGCTTCCAGCCTAAAATAAATATGGGAGAAGGATGCACAAGTTAATGAGAAAGCACATCGAGGAAGCAAACCCAGAAGGTGGGACAGCAGTAGGAAAATAAAAAAACTAATCCACGTAACAAACCAATGGCACGAGAGAGAAGGGAGAGAGTCTATTCTAGCGTAACAAAGACATGAAGTCTTTATTTTATTTTTTTTGAGACGGAGTCTCACGCTGTCACCCAGGCTGGAGTGTAGTGGTGCGATCTCAGCTCACTGCAACCTCTGCCTCCTGGGTTCAAGCAATTCTCTATCTCAGCTTCCCGAGTAGCCGTAATTATAGGCTTGTGCCACCACACCAAACCTAAAGTCAGTCTTAAGAGGCGTTAACAACCAAACACGCTGGGCGCGGTGGCTCACGCCTGTAATCCCAGCACTTTGGGAGGCCGAGGCGGGTGGATCACGAGGTCAAGAGATCGAGACCATCCTGGTCAACATGGTGAAACCCCGTCTCTACTAAAAATACAAAATATTAGCTGGGCATGGTGGTGCGTGCCTGTAATCCCAGCTATTTGGGAGGCTGAGGCAGGAGAATTGCCTGAACCCAGGAGGTGGAGGCTGCGGTGAGCGGAGATCGCACCATTGCACTCCAGCCTGGGTAGCAAGAGCGAAACTCCGTCTCAAAAAAAAAAACCCAAATAACAATGCTGGACAGCCCAACTGTAGAAAAGACATTTTGAGAGAATCAAGGATCTGACTACAGACTACTGAATGAGGCTGTTCTGACAAAACACAATTACAGGGAGAAGAAATCTGCGCGTGGGAAGCACAGGCCCGTTCCCCACTGTGAGGAGCCAGAACTTCCCTCCGCTGCCGCTCAGCCCATGGCTTGACTTCCCGAGCAAGCGCCGCGGGACGGCGCAGACGCACTGGCTCCGCCTTCCCACCAATCTCGACCCTCGCCGCGTTCCGTTTGTGCGTGGAGCAGTCGGGACGGGAGGCTAGGCTGCCGGTCTGGCTGGAGCTGCGGCGCTGCAAGCTGCGGGCCAGCGACGGCGTGAATGGCGGATTCGCAGCTGTTCTGCGTGGCGGAGGAGCGCAGCGGCCACTGCGCCGTGGTGGACGGAAACTTCCTCTACGTGTGGGGGGGCTACGTGGTAAGGGGAAGAGGCGGGACGGGAAGAATGCGCGCCGGGAGCCACTCGGCCCGAGCAGCCGCACCGCCCGCCCACACCCACTCCCGAGGCCGCGGCTCGGGCCTGGCGCGTCCGGCGCCTGCAGTCCCCCCACCCTTCCGCTGGCAGCCGCCCCCACAGCCGCGTCAGGGCTTGACGCTGTCCTGCCGTTGCTTCCACTTTTAAAGCCCCAGACCAGGCTCTGGGCTTCTTTCCACTCTCCGCTCCCCTCCCCCAGCAGTCCAGTAAACCCCCAGTTTGCCCAATGCAAAGGCAGTTACACCGCGATTAATTATCGTCCTAAATCCTGACGCAGATTTAGAAGGACCTGAGGACGCCGTGCCGTATCATTTGGTATATATTTCTTATTACCACGGCGCGATTCGAAATAAAATACCGAAATCACTGAAGCATGTAAATATTTCTAAGCTATTTTAATGGCTTTTAAAAAAACTAATGACTAGTTATGAATTTTTTTCTAGTCTTAGACCCATATTAGCAATAATATGCTAAGGAATATTATGCTTTAAAATTCTTATTACAATGGAGATTTGAACGTGTGTATATTGTGTTTCCAAATCACAGGATTTTTTTTTTGAGACGTAGTTTCGCTCTTGTTACCCAGGCTGGAGTGCAATGGCGCGATCTCGGCTCACCGCAACCTCCGCCTCCTGGGTTCAGGCAATTCTCCTGCCTCAGCCTTCTGAGTAGCAGGGATTACAAGCACGTGCCACCTTGCCCAGCTAATTTTTTGTATTTTTAGTAGAGATGGGGTTTCACCGTATTGACCATGATGGTCTCGATCTCTTGACCTCGTGATCCACCCGCCTTGGTCTCCCAAAGTGCTGGGATTACAGGCGTGAGCCATCATGCCCGGCCTCGGATTTTTTTTTTTTTTTTTTTAAGCCATCTGGAATTTCTGATAGTAGAACCTACATCTGTCTTCCTACCATTATGTGACAGACCTGTGATGTGGTTGCATCACACTGAAAAGACCAATATACAGACATACCTTGAAGGTATTGCGGGTTCTGGGTTCTGTTCTAGACCATTGCAATAAAGTGAGGTCATACGAATATTTTGGTACCTCAGTGTATTTTAAAAGTCATGTTTACACTGTAGTGTGTTAAGTGTGCAATAGTATGTGTAAAAAGTACATACCTGGCTGGGTGCCGTGACTGACACCTGTAATCCCAATACTTTGGGAGGCTGAGGCAGGTAGATTACCTCAGGTCAGGAGTTCAAGACCAGCCTGGCCAACATACTGAAACCCTGTCTCTACTAAAAATTAGCCGGGCATGAGTAATTCCAGCTACTCAGGAGGCTGAGGCAGGAGAATTGCTAGGACCTGGAAGGCCGAGGTTGCAGTGAGCCGAGATCCTGCCATTGCACTTCAGACTGAGCAACAGAGTAAAAAAAAAAAAAAAGAAAAAGAAAAAGTACATACCTGATTTCAAAATTATTACTAAAAAGTGCTAAGGATCATCTGAGCCTTGAGTGAATTGTATTCTTTTTGCTCGTGGAGGATGTTTCTCCATGTAGATGGCTACTGACTGGTTAGGGTGGTTACTGCTGAAGGTTGGAGTGGCTGTGGCAATTTCTTAAAATAAGACGAAGTTTCCCACATTGATTGAGCCTTCGTTTCACGAAATATTTCTCTGTAGTATGCAATGCAGTTTGATAGCCTTTTTTTTTTTTTTTTTTTTTTTTTTTTTTTTTTTTTTTGTGACGGCGTCTTGCTTGTTTCCCAGGCTGGAGTGCAGTGGCACAATCTTGGCTCACTGCAACTTCCACCTCCTGGGTTCAAGGGATTCTCCTGCCTCACCCTCTCCAGTAGCTGGAATTACAGGCATGCACCACCACGCCCAGCTAATTTTTGTATTTTTAGTAGAGATGAGGTTTCATCATGTTGGCCAGGATGGTCTCTATCTCTTGACTTCATGATCCGCCTGCCTCAGCCTCCCAAAGTGGTGGGATTACTGGCATGAGCCACCGCACCTGGCCTTTTTTTTTTGAGACAGAGTCTCTAAATCGCCTGGGCTGGAGTGGTGCCATCTCGGCTCATTGCAACCTCTGTCTCTCTGGCTCAAGCCATTCTCCTGTGTCAGCCTCCCAAGAAGCTGGGATTACAGGCATGCACCACCACGCCTGGCTAATTTTTGTATGTTTAGTAGAGACAAGGTTTCAACATGTCTGCCAGGCTGGTCAAAATCCTAACCTTTGGTGATCTGCCCACCTGGGCCTCCCAAAGTGCTGGGATTACAGGAGTGAGCCACCACCCACGGCCTATGTGTCAATTTTTTACATCTCATTTTAATCTTGAAAACTGTGTAATTGTTGGCTGCTGCCCTTTTTGGCCTCAGCCCACCTGCACCACTGCACCCAGGTGGGGAAAAAAAAAAGAAAATTGTGTAATTGTCAATATTGAAGAATTTGGTGAAAAAAAAATTGTGTAATTGATAAGATCACAGTTCTTCAGGTGGCAGTTAGTGGATTGAAATACTTCTTTTCCTATTGTTTATTAATCCAGTCCGTAGAGGTACTGTAAGAACCAGTCTGGAAAATACAGCACAGATTTAGATCCTGAGTCTACTACTTTTTTAAATTCTAGGGATTATCAGCAGTCAAGAAGTGTCTTAAGGCATAAGTGGAAAAGGAGAGTAGGAGGCAAAAAAGAAGCCTTATGGGTAGTATAGGCTTTAAGAAAAAAAAGGCAGACATGGCATATCATGAGAAAAAGTAGAATCCTTCTAACAATTACCTTATTCCAATTCTTCTAAGCAGAAGATAGTTAAAAGGCTCTGGAATCTGGTGTAATACTCGGTAGTTAAGTATAATGATTATATGATTCCACATTATATATTCCAGTCACTGTTTTCCACTTCATTGACACAAATAATATATTAAAATTGACAAACATATCCTAAAGCTCACTGATACCTGCGTAAATTACTAATTGTTCTATTGTCAAACATATTCTAAGGGCCATTATATTAATATCTGAAAATAGCCCCCCTTACAGCAGTAAAAGTGATAATACCGAGAAAGTGGTCGATTCTGATTGGTGTCAGAATATTATTTTGCTCTTCGTTCTGTATCCTTTCCACATTACAGAAATTCACACAGAATTCGGTGCCTACTGCAAGGAACGTTAAAAGTTGTGAATAGCTCTTCCAGATATGGCGGGGAAGAACTCAGTGTCTTGGCATGTTTGCAGATAGTATGGTTTTCCTCTTATGGCCTTAATCAATTGGACAGTTTTATTTCTGTAATACAATTGATATTAATACATTTTACTCTGAACCTTTTCTGTCTTTTTTTATTTATTTAATTTTTTTTTTGAGATGGAGTCTCATTCTGTCACCCAAGCTGGAGTGCAGTGGTGCAATCTTGGCTCACTGCAACCTCCACCTCCCGGGTTCAAGTGATTTTTCTGCCTCAGCCTCCCGAATAGCTGAGACTACAGGTGCACGCCACCACACCCGGCTAATTTTTTTGTATTTTTAGTAGAGACCAGGTTTCACGTGTTAGCCAGGATGGTCTCAATCTCCTGACTTCGTGATCTGCCCACCTCGGCCTTGGTGATTTCTAAACACCAGAAAATGAGAAGGCATATGGCAAATGAGGAAATATTTGTAACCAAGGCTGGGCACAGTGGCTCTCACCTGTAATCCCAGCACTTTGGGAGGCTGAGGCGGGCGGATCACCTGAAGTCAGGTGTATCAGTCTGACCAATACGGTGAAACCCTGTCTCGACTAAAAATACAAAAATTAGCTAGGCGTGGTGGCATGTGCCTGTAGTCCCAGCTACTCAGGAGGCTCAGGCATGAGAATTGCTTGAGTCTGGGAGGCAAAGGTTGCAGTAAGCGGAGATCGTGCCATTGCACTCCAGCCTGGGCAACAAGAGTGAAACTCCATCTCAAAAAAAAAAAAAATTTGTAGCCCTGCAATAAAGACAAAGGTCCTATAAAAGATAAAGATAATATCCCCACTGAAAAATGAGCAATGGATAAGTACAATTTACAAATAAATACAAATATCATACAAATCAAAGAAACCCAGGTAAAAATTACAATGAAGTTTTTCTTCTCCAGTTTGCAAAGATTAAAAATAATTTTGGGGAAGAGTGTGGAGAAATGAATTACTAGTACACTGGTAATAGGAGTACAAGTGTATGTAACCTTTTTGAGGAGAAATTTAGCAATGTGTATCAAAAGTGTAAGACATGTTTTCTCTTTAACCTAATAGTTCCACTTTGTATTTTCATAAGTGATCACATTGGTTATCTATGTCATGTTGAGGGCATTTATCATTTTTTTTTTTTGAGACAGAGTCTCGCTCTGTTACTAGGTGCCAGGCTAGAGTGCAGTGGTGTGATCTCGGCTCATTTCAACCTCTGCCTCCCGGGTTAAAGCAATTCTCCTGCCTCAGCTTCCTTAGTAGCTGGAACTACAGGCACGTGCCACCATGCCCAGCTGATTTTTGTAGTTTAGTAGAGGTGGGGTTTCACCATGTTGGCCAGGATGATCTTGATCTCTTGACCTTGTGATCCACCCACCTCGGCCTCCCAAAATGCTGGGATTACCGGCGTGAGACACTGTGTCAGGCCATCATTCTTTTGAAATGACCAGAATATAAACCTTCTTTCTCTATTTGTGGTATTCCCCAAATGAGTGAACATTGTCAAGGTATTTATTCTAGTTGTCTCCTACTTATCGTCATAAAATTTAAGATATATAACTGTTCTTTACTTTACCCTAAATGTCTAGAATTGGTTATAGCTCATAGTAGGTACCCAATAAAAAGACTTGAAAGTCAGGTACTAACTTTTCCTGCCTCACTTGCAGCTAGGTTGTGGGCAAGTAGCTAGGACTCCATTAGTTAGATGAATCTGTGCTAGATTTGGACATGAAAATAAAGATATAAAAACAACAGGACCTGTAGAAGATTCTTAGCCTGCAATATAGTTTAGGAATATCAAGGTCCTTTGCATAAAAGTCAGTAGTGTGGTGTTTGCCAGTGATCACAGACCTGTTCTCTTGGCATGGTTTCAGATTTGAATCTTTCTTACATAAATCAAAGGCTGGTTCTTCAGCCTCCCTGATGATTCTGTGAGCTACTTAATATTCATTTCTTAAAATTTTATTTACTTAATATTTGAATTTGAAATATATATACAAAAGAATGTATAAAGTATTATTTAAATGTAAACATCTGTTTACTTTCCAGATCAAGAAATAAACAATACCTTAGAAACTTACTGTTTATCTTGAATTGATTGCCTTGCTCCCACCACCCGCATTCCCACAGGTTACCATTATTGTAAATTTCTTTTCTTTTCTGTTTTTTTTTTT